AGTCTTGGAACCATTTAACAGCTTCGGGTGAAGCACCGATACAACTCAATTTGTGTAATAAAATCGAATGACTGACACTGTCAAATGCCTTGGATAAATCTAATAAAATTAGTGCCGTAAGATTTTTGTTGTCTATGGCTTTCAACATCGTATCGGTAACAAATATGTTTAAGGTTTCGGTGGAGTGAAGACTCCTATTCCCGCTTTGATGTGACGATATGCGATTAAATTCTTTGAGGTAGGAGCTAAATTGATTTAGAACAACTTTTTCACAAACTTTTGAAACTACCTCGAGTAGTGAGAGAGGCCGCTATCTCGTGGTCTCCTTCTTTTAGTAGGGGTATAACTTCAGAAATCTTCCATAGGTCAGGGAATGTGCTTGTCATTAGAGAGCAATTTATCATATGCGTAAGAGGACCCAGTATGATTGGAAGACAGTCTTTGATGACACGCATGCCTATTTTATCTGGTCCTGGTGACTTATTACTTGGCATAGCCATGATAATGCGTTGAACCTCTGTACAAGTAACGGATTGGAAATTGAACAGTTGATCAGATGGATAAGTGATTACATTTGACAGAGGATTTGACAGTGCAACATTGTTGTCTTTGGCTAAACTTTCGGCTGTCGCAGCAGCGTTCCGTCCCACAGAAGTAAAAAAAAGGTTGAAATCTTCTGCAACTGTTTTTGGATCTTTACTATAAACTTGTGTTTCCTTTTCCTTTGAGGGAATTATATTATTAATTATTTTCCATAGGGATCTCGAATTGTGTTTATGTTCTCTTACTTCGTTGAAGGTGTGGTCCTTCGCTGCGGCTTTAATTTTGATTTTTACGTTATTACGATATTCTTTGTAAACTACCCAATCACCTTCATCACGTGTCAGTTGAAACCGACGGAGGTGTAGGTCCCGAGACTTCATGAGTTCTTTTATTTCATTGGTGACATATGGACATGATCGATTTCGAATTTTGAAGGTTTTTAACGGTGCATGCACGTCGAGAGTTGAGTGAAGAACATCTTTGAAGGGTTCGAGTATTGTATTAACGTTGGTGTTGGATAATATGGATAACAGACGATCCGATTTAGTGACAAGGTCAGAGGAAAATAGTGAGGGATTATAGTTTTTATAACTCCTAGTTGTAATATAACATGCTGGCATCTTTGGGGCCTTTAACTTTAGTAGGACGTACACTGGTAAGTGGTCACTGATAGAAGTGTTAATAACACCACTCTCAAGAACAAGTGCTGTGGATGAGACTAGAATAACATCAATAAGCGTTTGGGACGTCGCCGTGATTCGAGTTGGAGTTTTAATAATCTGTGTGAGATTTAATTCTGTAGAAAAATTTGTTAGCGCTCTCCGCTCCTGGCCGTTTTCTAGCATGTTACAATTTAAGTCACCGAGCACTAAAATCTGTTTATTCAAAGTTAAAGCCTGAACATAATTTGGCTTAAGCAAATCTTCGAAACAATTTAGAGAAGTGTCAGGTGGTCGGTAGGTTACACAAATTATTATTGATTTGCTTTTTTGGCATTGTAGATTTATCCATAGTTGATGAAAGTTAGAGACTGACACCTTCGATAAATCTTTTAAGACAGTTGCTTTAATATTCTTCTTGATATAAGCACAGACACCTCCACCTTTCTTGTGTAACCGGTCAAGTCTGTGGATCTTATAATCGTCGATTGCTATCTCACGGTTCGTCACTGAGGAATTTAACCATGATAGGTAATATTTAAAGGTAATATTTAAAAACATGTCAGCTGTGGTGTGGGGAAAATAAGTTTAAACTGCCAAATCTACCAATTTTTTATGTGTATGTAAAGATAGTGCAAGTGAGAGTCTGCTATTTTACGCGCGTCGAAACACTGTTATTCAAACATAAATATTTCGCGTTCTAGATCGAATTTTAAAAATCCCCCCGAGGAAATTAAAGAAGAAAGCATGCTTTATCAGAATTTGTCAGTTCTGGCGAAAAAAGTTTATTATATCGAATGTCACCGAGGGCGTAGAACAAGGTGTTATTTTCTCACTCCTTTTGTTTACATGTTTCGAATTTCAGGCATTCTGATTGGTCAAGAACGCAAAATGTAAACAAACGCGCTGATTGGCTAACATTATTTGCCCTTGTTTTACGATGCTCTATCCAGTCTTAGGCCCCGTTTACACTATACCGGATTGCTATCGGAGTGGGTCAAATTTTGTAGGTATCGAAAGGCTGTGAAGATTTTTAATCTCAGAGACTCAAATAAACATGCCAATTCTGTCAAACTAATAAGCATTTGGTACTAACCATTGCTCCGTAACGGCAAAAGAAGATGTCGTGACCAGCGAATCCGGTATAGTGTAAACAGGGCCTTAGTGTATATCAGTGACTATTTCTTATTGAGTGAGTGAAAATTACCTTTTGACATTTTGTCCTTTTTCTCAAAAAATTTCTATACAAGCATATCCAATTTTTATTTTTAGATAATCGCTGGGTTTTTTCTGATATGTGGCCGAGATTTCTTGCTAATCGAAGGACAGGAAGTAATAAAAAACGGCGGCTTTATTGTACAACTTGACCGACGTTTGAGCGATGATTTTTGTACAAATATACAAAAATAAACAGTAATAATGGCGGACACCAAAGGACTTACACACTTAATGGACAAATATTCTTCCAAAGATCGGTTAAACAAACGAAATAACAAGAATCATCGCTCAAACGTCGGTCAAGTTGTGCAACAAAAGCCGCCGTTTTTTATTACTTCTTGTCCTTCGATTAGCAAGAAATCTCGGCCACATATCAGAAAAAACCCAGCGATTATCTAAAAATACAAATTGGATATGCTTGTATAGAAATTTTTTGAGAAAAAGGACAAAATGTCGAAAGGGAATTTTCACTCACTCAATAGGAAATAGTATGGGCGTCATTGGTGGCCGCGCGCTCGCCCCAATGTTTTTGCACCCCCTGCAATATGGCGTAGAAACCTTGGAAAGGTCTATTGAAATCGAGATTGAAATATACAACGAAATAGCAACCATTGTGAAGTACGCATAAGATTCAACATGACATTCGATATAGTGTAAATTAACTCATTTCAATCACTCAAACGTCAAAATGAGAAATAATAATCATTTTCAATCTATTGTAGTAATTCACCGTTTCCACGCATTTTTTATATCCATTAAAAAGTTACAATAAAGCTATATCTATAGGAAATAACGTTATTTAGTTATTAATTTGTAAAGTAAATCTAACAGTCAATCGCTTTTGATAAAACCTTGACCCGCCTTGACATTGTTAAAGGGGCCCTACAGTCATTTTTTAGTCAAGTAAGTATTGTTTACATTTTTGTTATTGTCGCTACTTGACATGCGCATCACGGCATGCATGCGTCTTCAGGTGTGCGGAAGTACTCATATTCACAATCTCGGACCCAGAGCAATGCCTGTACGCGGGCTAGGCCGCGTAGAGGCATTGCTCTGAGTACGAGATTGTCATATTCATGGCTACTGCATGTAAGATACAGCCAAACGAATCTCCGTGGAGTCCCCTACTTAAGGTGGCTTTTCGACTAAAAAATAACTGTAGGGTCCCTTACTCCCTTCAGTGTTATTATTACCGTCGCTTGCAACGAACTATTAACGGTCGCTTAAAAAAACATTGTCTATATTCGCGTGTTTCTGCTGGGGTCTGCACCGTAGGCAAATTCGCGCGAGAGTCTTAAGTTTTCTTATTTTGACATAATAGCTATTTTGCAATAAATATATTGATATTAAATTTATTGAATCGATATTTTAAGTTTCACGCCAGTTGTACCAAAGGTTATAAGCGCTATAGCGAATCATAAGCATAGATATCTTATATAAGATATCTATGATCATAAGTTTCAGATGGCATGCAACATATACGCAGTGCGTACCTATTTTTAGCTGTGTATTCGGAGATCGAAGGTTGATTTTAATATTGAACCAGTGGGCTGTCTTTAATACAAACTGACGTTTGAGCTCATTTCTACTCTGTTTTCACACCAGGCAAGTTAATTGGGAAGGTTGCTTGACCGCGGTGAAAATGGAACCCACGAGCTTTGGTTTGCTTGACCAACGTACTACCGACTGAGCTACAAGGTCAAGTCGGTTCGAATAGGTAATGATTATGGTGTATGTAGTCACGTGAAATTATTGAAATTATTGGAGTTGATGTTACTCTGAGTGTGTCCACACCCGGCAAGTTTCAACGCTTCCTACTGTACACCGATTCCCACCATGGTCAAGCAAATTTTTAGCTTGCTCTGTGTGAACACACTTACAGTAGCATCATCTCAAATGATGTCGCCTGAGTACATACACAACAATCATTACATTCACAAACTGAGCTTGGCACAGTGTAACATACTTGAGTATGTAAAGGGATGCCCTCACCAGAAAAGTTTTGAAAGTCCACCAGTAACTGTGCCTGAAATTTTCAGGTTTATCGTCTCATAATATGCAGATATATTTTTGAAATATTCATAGTGACAACGAGATCAGGGGCGGATCCACTATTAGGGTACAGCGGTTGCGCACCCCACGTACTGGTGTCTAGCACCTCGTTCCGCCCATCTAGGGAATCCAGCATCCCTCTAAAAATCTGCTTGACTATACATTTCTGCTTTTCCAATAGCGATTAGCGGAACTACTGTAAGCGCGCGTTGATTTTGTTGAAACGATTTAATTGATTTATTACGATTAAATATGCAAACAAGTACTTTAACAAGCAAACTGTCCAGTCACGCATACTGTACGTGATAAAAAGCCGATATAAACTTTACAAAGAAAAGATAATATAAAACGTCACAGAACGGCGAACATGCAGATTCCGCCATCTCAAATAATGGTAATGTTGGTATAGCAACGCTGCCGACTGCAGAGGAGAGTGGTCAGCAGTACGGCTCCCTCATTCACAACCCCTAGCAAACCTGCACCCCTCCTTGCAGATGAGACTAGATCCATCCCTGAACTAGATTATCCCTTTATGAAGAAAACAATAATTGCAAAAATTAGTTCGTTTATGTATTTAGGGACTGGTCATAAAGTAACTGCTATGGTGGGCTGGAGGTAAATCGCAAATTTTGCCAATATGTTCAGCTTCCCACCTTAGAATGTAGATAAAAATTTCAAAGCCCATCTAATCTTACAAAAAATTTTTCATTACCCACCCAATCTAAATTGGGAAAATACACTTGCAGGTATGAACAATAAAAAAAACTTGCAGGTATAAACATTGTAAAATATACACGGCACTGTATTGACATACATAATTCCACCAAGCTTGACCAACACATTGATACTGAGCTGCTCTCCAGTTGGTTGTATTTGCTGTTCGACCACTTCTTGTTGTTGTATAAACAAAGTACTGGCTTCAATAGCATCATTTGCATTTGATAATTTGGATAGTTTTGTTTACTTTTATTATTAATATCTTGTATTTTTTGAAGTATAAGCCTACATGCATGAGATTTTGTTTGGTGGCCCAACCGTGGACATACAAAAAAATTGGCGACCCATCAAAACTGCCCAAAGATTTTCCATGGCCCATCCTAAATCACTCCAGCCCACCCTAGCAGTTTATGACCGGTCCCTAGCGGTTTACGTTATGACCGGCCCCCTAACATAGTATTTTAGTCACCGAATTTATCGAAATTTTGCATATAAATACTAATAAATAGAAAACTGTGCTACGGTTCAAAACTTAGGTGGCCCTTGAACCTGTTTATTAGAGTATGTTCCGTTAAATTCCCGTTCTATTATAATATCGATTGATAACCAAAAAGCAGTGATGTCAAGTAACGAAGTAAATGTACTTTGTTACTGTATTTGAGCAGTGGTGTAGCCACGAGGGACGAGTCCTCCCACTCTCCTTCAGAACCACCTTCGAGATATGTTTAAATCCGTTG